CGAGATGAACGTTGGTGACCATTTCTAGTTGGCAATTAGTAGATAAGTTTTCTCATAGACGTGGTCCATAAAGTAAAGACTTGACCACGAGATTCACTCTGTGCCAATGCCGCACAGAAATAAGGGAAGCTGCAGCGTTAGCATTGGTTGCTATGCCAAATGAGAATCCAGACTTCAGGGGCTTGATCAGTGAGACTGATGTATACGTGGTATCAGAGGCTTGAGGCAGAGTGTAGAAGATCACCTTGAGTAGCATGGATACGAGGACAGCGATGTAGTGAAATCACTGAAACATGCAGATAAGGGAAGGACCTACGGAGCAAGAGGGGACTTTGATAGGACCCGAAGAGAGACCCTGATTGCAGATCAACACCCCCGGCACAATGGAAGGGATGTGGAAACCAGCGAGTTGTGTGAATAGATTTTAAATAGGTTTAGATCAACAAGTAGGACATTGTGATGTTGAAGGGGTGATGCGAGGATACAGGAGAGGTGAATAGGTCAGGTCGAAAGGAGAGATACCACAACAGTTTAGCACACATTTGGGCAAAGGATCGACTTCACTTGTCTCTTTTCGGAGTTGTGGTGTGGTGCTAAGAATGGCAAAGCTCACTGACGATGCCGGCGAAAGGTCTGGGGATGTACCACGTCCACGGTTCGACTGTAAATTAGCGTGCATACTATGAAATCCGGACTAGATTCCTTCCTTTAGGTCGTCCTGCCAATATGCCCAAGTTGCGAAAACAAGGTCAAACAACTTCTATACAACGTAAGGAGACCGCCACCATACAAAAGGCTATACCATCCTGGCCTTCATAATTTCGAATACCAAGGTTTTGTTGCAATATTTACTAATGATTATCATATCAAAGGCACATAATGCATCATACTCGCTTCTCTAGGCTTCCTGGTTAGATAAAAGCAAGATGTGAAAAAGAGATCAATCAACATCGGGAATCATGGCTACACAGTCCCTTTTAATCGTTGTTCACTTTTATCGAGAAATAAACATTATGTGGCATGTACCATTT